GAAAGAAACTGAGAGCACAAACGCCACTGACATCGATCAGCCACTATTTCTTGCAATTTCTCCAGCCAAGCACAAGCGGGGCCACGGGACCCCCCAACAACTTCCAAACTCTTCCTACTCTCTTTCACACCTTTCTGCTAAGTCGTGCGCTATCCACCTCGCCGTTCGTGCCATCCTGAAGGAGACACGGAGAACAACACTCGTCTCAGTAGACGGTGTTTCGGCATGCGTAGAACATGACCCAGCCATCGTACTCGATGATGCTGGATGTCTTCCCGGACTGAAGTACTTGCAGTACAACCAAACACCCGTTTTCTTGTCACCTCGTTACCAACACGCTGACGCTATCCAAAACCAGCCACGCTTCTGAGGCATGGGTGGTCGAAAATTTGAAGACGCCTCACACCATCTGTCCACAGAGGCCATGTCTCGCACCCATACAACAACACATCCCTTACTTTAGCCTGGTAAAGTACAGCCCTTAAAATCCAGTGAGATGCCTTTTTGACGCCACAAGTGACGCAAATTAGCGAACGTTGTTCGCGCCTCTGAGATTCTTGCGCTGACTTCATCGGAGCCAATACAACTACCGAGTTATGTGAAGTTTTCCACAATCTCCAGTGATTCTCCGTGAATTGTAAGGGATGTGTTCGGAGAGTGCACTTTAAAGGTGCAAGGCGCATGCCAAAAGATGGCATGATGGTGGTCAGTCTGTTCAACAGGGTTTGTGCTTCGCTAAGGTATTCAAAGATGAGGGCGATGTCATCTGCGTACTCCAAATCGACAAGGCTCTCGCCAGCAACAATATGAACACCGGGGTTTTGAAGACCTGGTGCTCACCTCATTATTTCATCAATGACGAAGTTGAACAAGAATAGAGAGAGTGGGCATTCTTGTCTGAAACCATTTTTGTAGGAAAGCTTTTGGAGAGCCCACCATACACTCGCCCGCCACGTAGTATGTGAATACAAAGATCAGATAATGTTTACAAACTTCTGGGGCATACCCTGTTGAGCAAGTGTAGTTAACAACACTGATCGGTCGACAGAATCAAACGCACCCTTGAAGTCGAGAAATACCAGGATTTTGGGTCGTCTGTGCATGTGGCGTTGCTCTAACACCTGATGGAGTGTGAAGATGTGGTCAACGCAGCCTCTACCCGGTCGAAATCCCGCTTGATTCTCACGAGTCAAGACTTTGCGTGCCGCCATGAGACGACGAAGAATCAGTGACGCCAGTAGCCTTTTCACAATCGGCGTCAAACTACCACTTCTGTGGTTACTAAGTTCACTGCGAGTACCCTTTTTGAAAGTGGGCACTACTATCGATTCACCCCAGTTGTCTGGGACGGTCTTCCCAAATAGGCTAGACAGGCACTGGCTGAGGAATCCATCGCCATCCTTGAAAAGAGCAGGTGGAAGGTCGTCAGGACCAACATCACGACGACGCTTGAGTCGAGAAATACATTCGGACACTTCTGAGACTGAAGGCGGCTCCATATTTACGGTCCACCTTTGTGTTGAAGGCCAGGATTCTGGATTGGACGTAGCAGGTGGCCAGCTGAATTACTGTTTGAAGTACTGTGCCCAGCGGTCCAAACGTTCTGCTTTGCTGCTTATCAGGGAGCCATTTCGGCCCCTGATTATTTGACTGACAAGAGGTTGTTGGTTACCATCCCCTCAACGTTTCCGAGGACCAGTCGAACGAATCAAGTGGAACAGCTTGTTTACGTTTCCAGCATTCTTCGCATCCTCTATTTATTCGGCCTTTCGGCTCCACCAAGCTCCTCGGTCTGCGCGGACACTCGTTTTCACCTGGCGTCGGTTGATGCGCCGGGTGGAGTTGTGGTGGTGGCCACGTGGAATCTGTCGCCTGGTCTCCAGCAAAGTCACGGTCCTATCAGATATCCAATGCTTGGATGGGGTTGGCTGGGTTGTACAGCAAACAGACGTCCCGGGTTTGACTAGCGCTTTGGATAGTTTTTCCCAGTGTTTGTTTATATTCGACACCGTACCGTCCGGCAGGCATTCGAGGAGCTGGTTCTGATAGTTTCGTTTAACTTCTGGGTCCACTAGCTTCTCACTGGCTAAGCGAGGTCTGCGCGATTTGCGTACACCTGAAAAGCGCAATGAAAAGCAGCAGCGTATAAGTGCATGGTCGGAGTCCACGCTGGTGTTCCAGAAGGAGCGGCAGGCAGGGATCGACCCTCGCCACCGATAACTGACGGCGATGTGGTCTATTTGGATTCGGCGCTGGTTTGATGGTGGGCACCACCATCGCAACGCAATGTTGCGTTGCACGCTTTTAGGTGCTCAAGGGCTTGAATTGTTTGCAGATAGCATTTTGAGTCGGTGGCAGTTTTATTCAACAACCGCTTCTTCGTTGTCAGTGTTTACAATCTATCGAATGTAATTTTCAGTTGGGTTTTTGAGTCGAACCCTCACATTTCTATGGAAATCAGCAACATCGAATCACCTGCGTTGCGCATCGGTGATCTACCGAGGTTGTATGAAGCCACCATTCCAGATGAGTATTTCCATCTAGATGAACATTGTGCATCATCTTCGGCTTCCAATGCATTAGCTGACTTGGTATCGCAAGCGTCTACCTTCAAGCAACTACAACAAGATTGCAGGTAATTTGATCTTCCTATACTTCAGCACTGTAGTCTTGAATCCCTTTTTATTGAAGATGACAACACGACACTCGAGGCAATTTTGGAGACTGTACCCGCACGAAATGTGGATCTGATCAAACTTAGGACACTGGAAGTCCTCAAATGCTACGCACCAACAGCTGCCTCTCCTATATCCCTGCAAACCAAGTTAAGGCGGGTCACAAAACCGTATGTTGACTTATCCTACAAGAATATGGTGCACGAATCTCCCGAGGCAACTGAGTTGCTGAGGGATGTCTTTGTCACCGTTCATGTCCACCGCCCAATCTCTTTGTCACAACTGGACCTAGCGACACAGGTAATCTTACTGCCTATTGATGTCACTCTATCCTTAACAGTCTCGTTACTTGATTACAACGCAACAGATTGTTCTGCTTGGATCAAATAAGCTGACCCAGCTACGAGATGCTGTCAAATGTCCTCAGGATAAAGTAAGTAGAATTTCGACCTCGCCTAATCACATCCTCAGGTCTGGTTGGGTGATTGCAGTGAAGCACTGGATGATCCAAACCTCCACATACCAGCAGAACGATTGTATAAGTCGTCCTACTTCTTTATTGAAAATACGTTTTATGATGACCTTCGGAGTCGGGAACATCACAGTCTTAGTCAGTAAGTACGCATCCCCCCATGTGTGCACTCATGCACCTTAGACCTATTCTTGAATGGATCAAAACCAAACCAGAGTTCGATTCAAAAGGCCCATTTACTTCGGCTCCGATGAACGATGTACTTATCCGTGATTTGGTCGTTCACATTGGAAAGCCATACCACTATGTCCATCAGGGCAACTGCGAACATGTCATCGTGTTTACCGATATCAGGTAAGTTTAGTCACTGTCTTCTGTGTTCGCCTTGTTTCAGGTGGCGTATCAGTTCACAGCCTGCTTCCTGCCTGCCTACTGCTACCTGCCCCTTTCACCTGCTAGAATGTCCATTGTTCTTTAGATTGACCAATCCTTCTTGCATTTTGGGAGTGATTCAAAAGTGGCTCAGCGCTGTACTTCTTGAAAAGCAAATAACAATACAGTACCAAGTAAATATATGTGGTGGAGTTTGCATTTACCAAAACAGCTCGTATACGTTCTCAGTACCACTACTTTAAGTGATATGTGAACAGGTAAGTTAAAGCACTGCCAAGACTGAAAGCCTCCATCAATTTACACCCCCCAATAGCAATTCTCTCTAAGTACATGAATTGCTCACTGAACGTTTCTGAGCCTCTGCATCTCTGGCATAACCACTGCGCGTGAGCTGCATAAACGAGATTTCGGGTGCAAAGACGTCATTTTCTTCACCCTGTTACAGATGCCAACAGCCGTAGTCACCATAACGAGATAAAAATTTTACAAGCAAGCCAACGTTGGTTGTGAAATTGATGAACTCAATTTAACGGTCGGTGGCCCACTCTGCAGTCCTGGTAGGCATCGTCGTCCAGCTTGTAGTGCGCATTTCGTTTCTTCAATTCTCTAGGTTTGCATACTGGTTTCTCATCCATCAAAGAAAAGTGAATGTCCACAACTCTCCCCTTAAATTAGAAATATTGCTAGGCGATACCCATAATTTTAGCAGTGAGGTTGGCGCATTACATGTTTTCTCTTCACCACTGAACTACAATTTTTCCGTAAGTGTCTCACACCTAGCTACCTTTATGTCATTGTTTTAATTTTATGAAGCGCGGATGTTGTCTCCATTCCTGTCGATATTTTTCACTACTCTCGACTGTTCACCATATTTTCGACTTTTTTCGGCGTAAGATTTCTTCAAACTAACACGTGGTTTATTTGTGAATGACCCACCATACAATATAAAAGATACCAGTTAGCTTTTCTCTTTATAGAGTGTCAATTGCGAACACATCGTACAATCCGGTTCCGCCGCTTACCTTTGTAACCTCGGCGATTTCAGCGTCCACAACACTGTCCACTGTCCTTCACATATTCCCGTCTCACTATTTTTCGTTGTCACTTCTCTCCTGATTGGGACAGTATGCAATAATTTTTTAGCTCATATCTCTGGGATAGCTACATCTCCTCGACGTCCGAGTGATCTAATTTACACCCCACTTTTCTAGGCCCAGTAGACCCTCATTTCCAGAATTGTTCAATATTGTGTCTTCGTGCTGTTAATCTCTTTCGGACTATGTTGATGCTCGGAGTCCATGTACTGTTTTCATTCACTGGGCAGTGCTTGTTATTCACAAGGCCGATAACTGGTACACCCGCCTACACCTGCCAGAAGCTGGAATCTGGAATCTTGCAGAAACACTCAGTTGGAGTTTCTCTACTTCCTCCTATCCTCGTATTCCTGACGCCATTGAAGCCCTGGACATTCTGCCAGGTTTGGTTTATCTCGTCCTGCTGTCACCATCCAAGAAGACGGGATTTTTTTAACGCAATTGAGTTGATTGGCAAGGGGTTCTATGCCCCTGGGTTATTTCCTTTCGATATACGGCTGTGCAAAGTAGGCTCTACGAGGCATTATCAGCGTAACTTAGGGAATGTGACCAATCGGTTGGTCGAGGGAAAGTGATCTTGGAGACCGTCTGATGTAGCTCAGCATTATTGATCCGATGTTCCACCTGCACGCGCGCAGTTTTTCGGAGGGACCGGCGGTCGGGCTGTCTTCGGGGATCTGCAAGCCATAGCCAATTCAGTGATTCATGAAGCACGACAAATCGCAGCACTGTACACTCTACCCTGGTTTCATGTTGACGCCACACGTCAGGTTGATGAGCGCCTCCCAATTCGACAAGTGATTTCACCAGTCCGCTGTGACTTATGCATCTGTCCGGACAAACGAATCCATCCACCACATCGATCAGTTCACCTGAAAACATGGTGCTTTGGTTTGATTCCACCCGGTCTTGAAGTTACACCTTACACTTTCCATACTGAGTCATTCAGCAGAACTTTCCACGTTATTCAAAATTGTTCGCATTTTCGTAGGATCTGATCCAAGAAGAACGATATCATCAGCGTACTCAGTGTCCGTGAGCAAACGTCCCAAAATTAATCCGATCCCGGAAGTGTTAGAGCCAAGTAACCGAGCGGCACAATGTTTGCGAAAGTAAAAACAGGCGATGGAGGACATCATTACCTGATACCACTAGATGCGGTAAACTCAAGAGTTTACTACGCGCATACAGGGGACGAGCCATAGACTTTTTAAAGACAGGAATTTAGAAGGGACACCCATCATCGTCACTTTTTTAGTTTTTGACGATGATGATCGAAAAAAAACGGGCATTGCTAGTCGTCAAAAGAGTGGACGGTTCCAGCATTTGCCCCAAAGTGAAGTTCTGATCAGTGCGACCCCAACCAGCTTAGTTCTAGCGGATCAGCCTGTGTGGGATGATACCAGAGAGTACCTTGTAAGGTTTCTGGTCTCTTAGCCACTGGAGATCACCAATAGAAGTGATATCATCAGTACAAGTTTGAGTGCATCCTGTCCTGCCCGTGCTTATATAGTTTGTAAACAATACCTAATAACTGACGTGACTGATTGCTCTCGACGAATCTTCCGCGTAATGCGGCTGTTCAACTTGGGATCTGATTAGCACTATGGTCTCATTACCTTTCACCTGGTTGGTGTTTTGGACGCCTTCAATCCGAAGTTCTATTCTCCACTGGGATTGGTCTGTTTCCTTCTCGATTTGTGGTGTAGTTTTCCTTCGCTCGATTCGTTAATTGTAGTTGTTTTCTTTGATCCGAGTGGTCCGTTCGCTGTTGTTTGAGTTCCCACATGGTTCAGAGTTTAGTAGTCATACAGTTCTTTTGTTTGTAGCGGCTGGTACACTGAGTCGACGTCAACGTGCTTATTGACTGATTTATCGGTGGGGTACTACGCCGCGGCAAACTCCCGCTGCCGTTTTGTTCTTGCATGAGCAACTATTTGGAATTCATCATAGTTGAACCGCTGTCCTTCTGTCTTCGTGGATTGAAACAACGGAGCAGTTCATCCTAGCCATCTATATTCCGCAAAATCAGCACCTTGGAAGCTGTGGCTACTGGACAGATATCCCAGTAGTTTTCCTTAAGCCCTTCTTGAATAACCGTCGGGACGTACCATTCTGTCGATATTCTCCTTTGAGGAATGCATGATGCAAACCAGGTGTTTTGTTGCAGTGAAGGAATGTAACTGCATGTTGAATTTCCGTTGTCGATGGGGCTGGCGTCGACGTTCCGTTCGGGTTCATCCCATCTCTTGAGATAATGTTTCTACAAGTACACTGCAAGTACCTTTTCGGAGATCATTTGACTGACATCCGTCCTTCTGGAAGCAGTTTGGTTTCTTCTGGGCTTAGTCGGCCGACCTGAGCTTCATGTCACCTGACAGAATCACGGTAGTGGCACTTCTTGCTGACCGCAGCAGCCACGACGCCCGATGGAAGTTATCTTCTTTGTCTCTGAATTACTATCTGTCAGAGCGTATACTAACACGTAAACGCAGCGTCTGGGTGCACTGTTATTAATTGAACCAAGCAACAAAACAGCGAAAAGACCGCTATCCCTTGGAGCATAGTAGGATAGACCGCATTCAGTCACGGGCTATACACGACTCTTATACCACAAATCGTTGCTTCAGAATCACCAGTCACCCAAAGGTCAAAGTGTGAGGGATCTTGTTCCATTTCGAGGGGTTCGAGGTATATGACCAGAATAAGGTTGTGTGGCTGTTTCGAAAGAGAGGTCTGAGCAAGCGATGCCTTTTGTCCAACTCGACACAGTCCGATTGTTGAAACCAACAATGTGGGGCAGATCCTTTCGGTTTGGTCTCGTTTGATTTATTCTACTTGGCAGAAGTCTGGATACAACACAAGGGTTAAGCGGTTGACAGTTGAATGGAGCACGCAGTCAATCCCGCAATAACAACCCCGCCTCAGTTGATGATGAAAAGTTTGTAATCCAACTAATAACTTCGGCGAACAGACCAACGACCAAGAAGCTGAAAGAATTGGTTGGGGTAGGGATCGGTGCATGAGGCGCCTTCAGGACAAATGATACTTATCTGCCGTCAAGTCCGAGGCAGGGCTTAGGCTGAGTTATCACACCTAGAGGCTCTAGCTCTTTTGAGTCAGACGCTCAAGGCAATGAGATGTAGGATTTTGTTCTGGGACTCTTTCATTAGCGTCGCGAACCGTGAGGCAGCAACAAGGATTTTTTTGTGGGACTCTCCCAGGGGCCAATCAACCCATTTGACTGAAAGGTTCTGACTTGAACCGATGGCGCAAAAGTAAGACATGAATACCTGACTTCATGTCGGTACAAACAGTAGATGCGTTTGAAGTTGCATTGAGCTCATCGCAATGTTTATTTCTCTCTCGAATGTATTGGGTATCTCGCTGGTGGTGACGATCAACTGTGCGACCGGCATGTGCGGTTTCTAGACTACCTTTTCTAACGTCTTTCCTCTCTAGAAGGCAGCGTCGCTGTTCTCACAAATATGGACCAAAACGAAGCACACTCCTGCCGCAGGGGGTAGCGCGACTACCCCCAGGCTGTCTCGCTGTTCCTCGTCTGATCGCTGCTCCGTTATCACACTTGAAAAACTGCATTCCAGCTAACGTAACCTGTAGGACCATTGCAGCCCTGAAGCCCGACCACCACGACAGAGTAAAATAATCTCATTTGTACCATGCGTATGAAATTACTTACAATCGACCCTTTAGAAAACTCGGTTCCCCTTTCAACTTCTGTGCAAGTCCTAGGTGTGCCTCACTATGGAATACTGCTGTTATATTTGGAGCGGTTCGCCTTCTGCACATATTTCACTACTATCCCCGGCACCCCATTCATTTACCGATAACTAGTCAACCCCCCTCGCAGTTGGGTTGTCTCACTTTCGCTATTTTATCGCCTCTGTTACTCCACCGAGTTTGCCCCATCCGCCTTCCAAAGTCAAACGACGGGCCTATGCTCATTTAGGCGCTCACATCTTGTATTTATTCACTTCGGCTTCACAGAACTATTTTTCTTATTTTTTTTTCGAGAACAACTCGCCTCCGGAGCTCTTCCACTATGCACTTTCTTATGATCATCAATGTCCCAGGACTGTGGTTAACGTTAGTTTGTTCAAACCTGCATGATTCTGCAAAGTTATGCTTTATCAATACGTACTGGAGTATACTTTCGTGTTTGCTCGTCCTTTCACATGTTTAACCACTTCAATGTTTACCATACATGCAACGGGTCTGAGTATGGGTCTTTCTTCCCCTGTGAAACAATTTCGTGAATAATAAAAAACGTGTTAGCTCCATCCATCGGTTTATCTCACAGGAGTGTATCGGGAGCTGTACTGTTCTAACATAAGCACGTGGGATCCATTCATCAGTCTCCATGTTTGGGTTGCCTAGATTGTTTCCACGTATTTCAGCCACTTGTGTAGCCCGCTAATCTCCACTTTTTCGGAGGTGCATGATTTCAGCTGCCTGGGCAGCACATTGTGGACGTGTGAGTTAGTAGACGGTAGCATTATTCCATATTGCTTGAACGCTTTTTTCTATTCAAACTGTTCCAGGGGTAGAACAAACCTCCTTCCGAGTGTCCTCTCCCACAATTCTGTACATGCTACTGCTTCGAGAGCAGCAATGTTTCCCACTATCGAAAAAGATCGTCGTTTTCCACCTCAAGGAAATATTGCGCATCGGTTGACTTTGTCGGGTTGCGAATACTCCTCAGGAACAAGTCCGAAATTTTGTACGGTGTACATTTTTATCACTGATTAGCAAGAGGGTGTCTCCACTCACGAGGATCAAGGTAAAACAAGCCTCGAGCAAAACATCACATTCTAGTTCTAACGTGCGAACACCCTTAGCGAAGGGTCGGTCACGCAAACGAATCCTGATGTGACTGATCCATAACTAGACCACTTTTAAGTTTAGTTAAAAGAAAACAGCTTGAAAAGAGAATTTCCCCGATACATCAGAGATATATAGCTACATAGTGCAAGCTCTTTCTGAGTATAGACGTTTCAGGAAAACAGAATAAAGTTTACTATTTCCTGGGACGTTTGCACACCAACTACTCTCCGGAACCATCCATGCTTTTGGACGTGGGATGTTTCCTCGGAATTTGATTAGTTCGTCTAGTGACGAATGCCACATGAGTCTATTTCACTACTTTCGCTCTTGATGTTCAACGTTTGCTTACCCCATGTTTTAGGCTCGTTGACCGCGATGCATGCCAGTCACCCGAAATGTTCCCCATGCTAACTGGTCGTGGCTACATCCGGTCAATCCGGTGCTATGTATGCAAGCGGCTAGTCTGTCGCTGGATTGTTTCAAAAGTGGGTACGCTACTCCCACTAGAACCATGCCCACTCTGTGACGTTTGCCTACGGTTACTCCTCTACGATTGCGATGGCAAGAAGATCTATCCGGACATGGTTGTTCATATGTTTTGTGGTGAAGAAGTGGTCGCCGTGTAAACAGTGCCATGTGTTATTTGAAATAATCTGATTTATAAATAAACAATGTTCCCACACTACTGTTTTCTCATTGCTCTGCTGATTGTTAGAAACCTAATACAGCACCATTCCACCGTACGGTAATCTTTCACGAGGTGTGTTATCCTATTACCGGACCGTTTCAGCAACTGCAGCTTCGGCTAACGGTGCTGTCACCCCTCAAGGATACAACTTTGAAGGCTGCCAAATTATTTCCTCCTGAGAAGGTGACCCACATTAGCCGTTACACCTGGAAGCAGTAGTCATCATCACGGATAACATAACATCAGTGATCAACACTGATACTTTGCTGCCGTACAACGAATCCTTCAATACTTGGTTTCCTATGGGAGGAAGCTAACCATTCGGAGATGTCACAGGTTACCAACTGCGACTGGTCACATCTGGAGGGTGGTTCTTACAGAGGGTAAAAATTTCAGTAGCCGTGCCATACAGACAGAGAACACGCGTAAACAAATCTAGATTGGCTACGACCGCCTTTTGCCCGCTAGCTTGTTCCTTTCTCAAAACACTTGTAGGTAGGAGTTTTAGTGTATACAGCCATGCACCGCGCGGTTAGCGCTAGTGTGAAAGCCTTGAAATGATTAAAATGGATACGAGCATTATCGCAAAGCAGAAATACGTCATTCAGTATTGCGAACCTTTCGAAGTATGTAACTGTCATCGTCATCATCATCATGATCATGAAATCAGTTCAATTTTTTTTACACTTCGCTGCCGTACAACGAAGCCTTACTGTGAACAAAAGAATAAGAGTAGGCGGTGAAAGGATTACTGGTAGCCTACCACAATCACTCCTAGGTTATTACACCTCCAGACACTTATTCGGGTAATCTGGATAGGAAATGACGACAAGAATGCCATCGACCAGCAGCGTCTTCAACCAGGCGCAGTGGCGGCCACATGGTCCTCATCCTGGAAGGCGAGTCGCACCAACATCACCCGAACGTTTTCTATTCTCTTTTACACCACTCTGCCAAGTCAATGGTTGGCCATTTCTCTGCTTGGGGCGGGATGGCCCGAGTGGTTAGAGCGCGAAGTTACTGACCGGAAGGTCCGTGGTACGAACCCGACCTCCGCCTCTCGACTTCCCCTGTCTAGGCTTGGGCAACCTGACAGTATCCCAGCCCTCGTGGCATAACAGCTAGGCACCGGAAGGGTGCTACAGCTGAACGCTTTCTTCCTTTCATTCCTCTGCTTCAGCCACTCTGAATTGGGCAGGTCAAGCAGTACCCTTCAGCAAAAGATGGTTTCGCGTGCGCTGCTTCTGATAATGGACGTTCCTAAATGGAAGTCCCCTTTGCATAACTGAAAACTAGCTTCTTAAGTGCCTTGTTATGGATTCGCTGACACCAACCCACAAAAGCTATGGTTCTGAGACAACGATTGTCGAAGACTTGAAAGCGTCCTATTTCCGCTGCTCAAATAGGCCAAGTCTCACAGCCACACAACAACAAAAAACTTGTACTGTAGTCTGATACACACGTTGCTTGAGATTCAGGGATACACCGATTTGCCGTATTAGGTGTCTCCAATTAGCAAACACGATCGGACCTGATCTCATCTGTTACCATACAATTGGAGCTGATACAATTTCCAAGAAAGGTAGAACGCTCCATAACTTCGAGTGCCTCTCCTTGGATGGTAAGTGGTTTATTCAGCACTTACGTGCCAAAGGAGCTGACTTTACACATCACGGGTTCGGAGCGCATGTGCCTGTTTAGTTCATCCAAAAATACTTGTGCCTCTTCTTCCTTTCGAAGACGAGAACAATATCGTCTGCATTTTCCAGATCAACAAGGTTTTCGTCAACAGTTACGTGAACACCAGAGTTTTGAAGAGCTTCTAGCGTTTGTCTCGTTATCTCGTCGATAACGAAACTAAAGAGAAATGAAGAGTGGATATTCTTGGAGTACACTTTCTGTACGGAACTTCTTGGAGGGCTTTCCGTATACTCACACGTCCGGAAGTCTGAGAATACAAAGAACATACTATGTTCATAAACTTCCGGGGTATTTGACGGGCAAGCTTGTACAGGAGAACAGACCAGTCAACAGAGTCGAATGCGCCGTAAAAATCTAGGAATACTAAAATTATGGGAAGAGATGGCGGTCTCGTCCCAATATGAATTCACATCTGATGGAGCAGTTGGAAGACTTCAGAAGACGATTCTGGTAAGTTCGTCCAACATCCGAATCTGTCAGTCTCAGCGATTTGTCCGCACCATACGCGGCACTGGAAAACAGGGAGAAGCGACTCCGGACGACCGCGTGGTCGAAATCCACAAATGTGTTTCAAAGAAAGTGGAGGTCAGTCACTGATCCGCACCCTCGGTAGCTGATGGCTGTGTGTCCAATTTGGGCACGCCGTTGGAAGACACCATGTAGTCAGACGAATTCGGCTACTTAAAAAAACAGCCTGCGGTCAGCACAAAGCTGAAGAAATCGTTCGTCATTGTCCGTACGTACCGAATCCAATCCGTGTCGGCTACCTAATTGAGTCTCAAAGCAGCTAAGCCTACCCATGCCCACTTTTGCATTCAGATCTTCGGCAACCACAGCTATATCTGAGCTTTTAGCTCGCCGCAACAATGCACCAAGGACGTCATAAAACTTGTCTTCGATGGTGTCAGAGCCATAGTCGGTTAAGGCGTAAGCAGACACGGCAGACATCGATCAATTTCCTGCATGTGAAACCATTTCACAGAAGTTGAACCGCACAGAGGCGAATATCAACTGATATCCAGTTAAGTATCCTCCCGGAGGGTGAGAAAAAGTATGTGTGAGAGGAGGCGGTATGTACTTATGCTTTTTCTGGATACCAGCAGCACTAAAGGATCCTAGAAGTGTGCCCTGTCTTCGGAGTGGTCGCACACTGCGTTTCGCTCTTCGGGGGGAATATGCAGTCCCGGGTGGGTACTTTTGGGAATATTAATGTGAAACAATGTGTATAAGCATATTTTGATGTTTTTCAAGAATCCTGTTTGTTTTCCATGTGGTGTATGCAAAGTGATGGTTGACGGTACTGTACACAAGCTAAAACTGTGAACACTGAACTGCACAACCGGAAAATCCTCCACTAGATGAAACGAACTTAGCTGCGTTCCCCAGGCTAGGCTCGACTTCTCGTGGGTAATTTACCTGGTTTGCACGTACGCATTGATCTACCTAATCGTGGATGATGGAGAATGCTGGTACATCCTCTTCGGGACAGCAACCTCTCTGGTGAGGTCAGTTTAGTACTTCAGGTTCTTGTACACGGAAAAGTCGGAGGAAAATTGGATACCGCGGCTGATTATGTTCCAGATCGATTCTGCATCCTGACCTTTGTGGGATTTAGGGTGTGCCATTTCGAACCCAATGGTACCGGTGAGAGCAACTCCTGGAGCACTGTTGTATTTCCTCTATAAACTGTCAGTGAGTGACTCCAACGTCGGTTTAAACCCGTTCGTACAGCCGAGGCTGTCTATTGCTAGGCGTCCGTGTTCGGCATTTACCATCACCTAAACTGTGAAGATGACGCTGCAAACTGTTTGAGGCTACCGAAGGTCTCTATCAGCAACAACAACACCGAACTCGAGGGCTTCACGGCCTATCCTGAGAAAACTCTCGGTACTCTTGTTACGACTACGCTTTGAGACTACTCACTCACCACTGCTAGTTATAAGGGTCCAGCAACGTCACCACTCAAAAAAGCTCCTCCGATTTACAGTGTATTATTGTTCAAATGGCCCGGTAGTGGGGAGGATATCTGAGGAAGATCATTAGTGGTGCTTATATACGGAATCACCTCGATTGCATTTATTGACCCTCGCAAGGGATTACACTTTGGCACCTTATGCCGACAATGCAATTAATTGGATTGTAGGGTAGGATTGAAGAGTATCTGAGCGATCCTGCTTGCTAACTTGTTTTTTAAGATTTAGGGAACCCCTTGTCTGACACTACCGTAATTCCTGTCTTTCTTTTGTTTCAGGACGGTCAGTATAACTTTCATTAGTGCAGTTTCTTTGTTACAATGGCCCTTGGCGGTGGCCCTACTAAGGGAGCTCCATCTGGTGGCGTTGAGAATGGAACTGATAAGGCAGAAGCCACTGCCTTCGACACAGTTGTGGAAATATCTAACCTCCTGGAGACAGGTCAGTTGGAGTTTTCATATAGAATCAGTGAATGAGTCAGAGTGGATGGTTTCACTATAAACAATAGCCGTTTTTTGGCAATGTCGTCTGCTCAGTATCAATGTCGACAGGCAGTACTCGTATGCAAGCCCGTAACATAATTTGTTTCCAACGCTTGTGCGAGACGCGCTTTCAAGATTGGTTTAAATGTTGGAAACCATCACATACTTGTGTTTCTTTGTAGGTTTGGATAATGAAGAACTGTTGATGTGTACCAAACTGATAGAGTCAGGTGTCAATCCAATAGCCTTGGCGATGTCTATTCACACGATCAAACAAGGTCAGTATAAGCAGACCTCTACCCGGAAATAACCAGAAACCTGTTAGTTTATCCGAAAATACACTGCTTCGCCTCACACAATGTTTTTTCCAGACTACAGCGGAACAGTTAGTTGGACGAAAAGCATAAGATGAAGCTGAAAAATGTCTTTGTCTGCGAGACTGTATCACAATTGAAAGAAAAAAACCAAGAGAACCATCGGCATGCTGTGCCTGTAGGGGAGTGGTGAGAAACCAGGAAAAGCTTGAAGTCTCCGATCTATCCAATGCAGTCTGCAATCACCTGGCTGATCTCCTGATTGGACGATCGAACAGTAATCAACAGGCTGATACCCTGTCCACTGATGGGATGTGTGCCTGCATCAGGAACTACACGGGCAAATTTACATATTGCGAGCACTTCGATTCCACCGCGGAAAACACCCGAGAGCAACAATTGGTGAGAGGACTTTTGCTCCTGCGTCATTTGATCGGTGCGGTCACAAGGCTGCAGTCCGAGATGATCAATCACCTGGAGCATTGCGTCTGAAATGAGTGAAGCGGAGAAACAGAGAGACGGAGAGAGGAAATCATTATTCTACATCGATATAGTTCATCCGAACGTCACTGGAGTCGCGTGTTGTCCGAGAATATACTGAAAAGTCGCCAGAGAAACTATAAAATCCTGGATAGCGAAGGCTGGCAAACCGTGCAATGGATGGGGTCAGCATTTAGCTTTGGTAATGTAATTCCCTTTTGCCGTTAATGAGTCAAGCAGTGATGCAATAGTCTCGGGTTATTTCGTTGGTAGACGTAAGGAAATATAACATAAATCGGTCGCACGAGAATGAAGGATATAGGGCAGGGCACCATAGCTGGACGGGCCATCTAAATAAGACAGCAGAACAAGCAAAATTAAAACAAAGCCTAAAGCAACAACCAGGATGACTCAGAACCCGAAGCACTTTCTGCAGAGGTCTGAAGGCCACGCCCGTGTCGCTGAACCCAGCGACCGTGAGCCGAGAATCACTCACAAATATGGAGTATAGCGCCTAAGCATCGATATGTTAGGAGGTGTAGGTACTTTGTGACTTGGGAAGATATCGAACAAATCGCGTGACTGCCGGTCGGCCAGGTGTATTGCTTTTAAGTATATAACCGATAGTCCTACATGACAATCCATATCATGGCAAGTCGTGTACATGCCACTTACGCAACGTTCAAAATAAAAAGTTTATAAATCAATTAACAGTATTGGTGACGTGGTTTACGCATAGAGGCATCAAAATACCTTTTATTGTTTTGTGTCTGGCGAGCATGTATGTCTCCTCTACCTCCGATTCCGGTTTCAGTTCTTGCCATACCAAGGAAAAGTTACCCTTCAGTACCTTTTGAATGTGATCGGATATCTCGATGCTGAGGTCTTCAAGCTAAAATGCAAAGAAAGGTGTGCAAATTGTACAAAAGAAACCAGTAATACGCTCCAAAGAGTGCATAATGAGCGACAGGGCTTACCTGGTACTCATCTGGTAATCCAACCTCTCCCCCATCGGTGTCAGGATCCCTCACTGTGAACTTCATAGTGTTTGTGAAAGTGGTCGAATGGACCTCTGGGCTGTCGGGCAGTTGCACCAGGACATACGTATTGCCAGGAATGTTGAAACTTAGCGTGGGGCAAGGAACCGTTCTGAGCACAATGAAACCACTGTCCTCGGGCTCTACCTCGACCCTGACGTCTTCCAACAGTTGATCTTGCATGGTGTTGGTACACTCGTACTGAAAAAGGGTCAAAGTCATGATAAACAGATAGCAGTTAGCTCAAACTGATACGGTGGCAAACACCTGAATAAAATAGTTTGTCACCACATATAGGCGACCATATGGAATACGAAATAATAGAAAGTATGGATGAGATGATCCACTCCATATTGACCTGTAATGTTGCAGAAGAGCGCTGTTCGTTGCGTTATCCGGATATTGATGGCTATCTTGACGAAAAGCAAAAAAGAACAAAAAATTCGGTGGTTGTCCTATGATAATTCCTGTTAGAGAACATAGATCCGTACAGTGTAATGGGGGCCTTTGCACACTCACTGTGCAGTCCAGGAGTCCTGCTCGGTGTAAGAAGACGTGGCCTCCTCCCAATAGAGACCAGGAAGTGAAAGGTAACCAGGAGTGAAATATGCGATGGGTTAAAATAGTTTAAAAACCTGCATTCACATGCACTACGCACCACGATTTGAAATTCACGTCGCATCAAATGACGCGTGGCTTCCGTGAAGGAGTCCTGCAAAGTGCACAGTCAGACGATGGCTCACATGCACGCGCAGTTACTCGTCCTACCAATATGCGGCTACTGCGGTCCATGGCTTATCAGCACTTTTCTAACGAACGGTATATGCTCTGTCTCCGAGGCTACACACGAGATTATCAAACGCGCGATTTGCTAGCAGTCCACTCAGCTGTAAAGCAGCCGTCCACAGAGAAGACACAACTTAGGTATCAATTTAATACTTACCTGAAGCACGAGATGTTTTGCAAAGATATGTTTTACACACCGAACCGCGTATTCTGTATCTTCTTCACTCAGTTCGACAGGCTTGGACGACTTGAATATCGGACCCAGACCAGCCAGTTGAGGGACTGCTGCCAGCTGCTCAGCATAGATTTCTGGTAGGCGTGCGGTGCTGCTAGCCGTTGCCCTTGTATCACCAACGCTGTAATCCCCAGTCCCTTTGAGAGCTACAAAATAAACAGGTCTCAGAAGTTTCACAGAGGCAGTGGAATGGTGAGGAATGTCAAAATGTAGTGAAATGCGCTTTTTTCAGGTAGCACCGAGGTTCACAAAGAACAGCATTGATGGAGAGAGATAAGTAGAAACTGATTATTCCTATAATTCGAGCATGGAAAACTATCAAATATCGGCAGTTCAGGCTAGTTTTGTTTCTTTTGGGACCCCGATTGGGCACCCCATAAATATATCTGATTACAGTGTGAAAGCTAGTCACACTGTTGTTTGGTTACGTTCAACTACAGGCTATGAGGATAATTGATCTGAAAGCGACCAATCAGACAGGTTGAGGGCAGATGACCAGTGGTCGACGAGTAATGTCAAATATACTAAGATCACCGACTCAGCCGTACAGTAACAGACTCAACTGCTGACATCTAGTGAGGAAATTGGGCATTTAGGTCCTCAATAGCATCCTACATCAGCGACCAACGTTGGGTGCACTCCAACTAAGTCCACCCAAATAGGGAACAACATAAAGCATACACCGACTTTCCGTTAATCAAAGTGCGAGTTGAGTTATCGTGGTAGTCATACAAAACTGGTAATCTGGTCGAATCACTGTCAAGAAGGAAACATTTTGGCTAGGTTTCACGGGTTGCACCTGTTTGGAGTACCAATGTTCTTGAAGTAATCCTCGAATGTATGTGAAGTGATCGAAGGAAATTCGAAAACACAATCGTTTTGTTATCAGTTTCAGGTGTTTTTTTCAACCCATTAATGTGCCGACTCAAGGTATTCTGGGATGATTCTATGATGCGGGATGACTTACAAGATGCACTCATCCCGCAGTTTTCAAGGGATCTTCGTTAGCCCGCGGCCAACACTGAAGATGTGGTGGCTAACCCAATCTGGGGATGTAATGTATTGCTCATTCACTTCTAACACCTTTCTGTGAATGAGCCCACCAAGCATACGAATGTGATAAATCGTCGACGGACTGAACGCACGCCTATGATTACTCCGTCTGATATGCATGTGAGGTTGTGTGATTCTGTTCTGTTTGCTTGCTCCGTACGTGTGGATCACACGGCCAGAGAGCAAATCTTATCTGAATGTAACAATTAACACTTGAGCTAGGAACACGTAAAACACCTGGACGATCATCACCACTAAAGACAGCATAAGCTTCACTGATGCCTAACCACAAAGCTCATCCAGTTAGAAACTAAGAGTGAAAAGAAGAGATAGTTGTGGGGACCTGGCGTTGGCGTGTCAATAGCATTTTGATATGACTATCTCCAACCGTCAATCTGAAGAGAACGTGACAATACGAATGCCGCTGACACCGATCAGCCACCATTTATTGCAAAGTCTTCAGCCAAGCGCAACAGGGAACTTCATTCTGGAAGGCATACTGCACCAACAACACCGTAACTCGTAATCTTCTTCACACCCTTACGCCAAGCCATACGTTGTCGACCTTAGGGATAAAGGACAAACTCGTCCCGGTAGACGACGTTTCGACATGCGCAGCACATGACTGACTCACCGCTTTTGATGGTGCTCCTGTTTTCCTCAGTTGAGGTGCCTGCTGTATAACCAAATAGCCTCGTTTTATTTAACCCGTTACGAATTCGTTGACGCCATCCGACACCAGCAAAACTCATTAGGCGTCAGTGGTACAAAACCTGATAAAGTCTCACATTATCTGTCTGCAGAAACTGCCTGGCAACTATACAACAATACAGCCCTCACTGTGGCCTGGTACAAGCGGCCCTTGAGACCCAGTGGTATGCCTTTTCGACGCCACAGGCGACGCAGATTAGTAAACGTGTTTCAGGCTTTTTGGATTCTTGCACTGACTTCATCAAACGCATTTCCGTCATGGCTACAACTACCGAATTATGTAAAACTCCACAACCTCAGCGCTTCTTTTTGAATTTCACGGGGCATGTTCATAGACTACGTGTTCCGAAACGTGACTGCATTTTAGAGGTGATGGGCGCATGCCGAAAGGTGGTATGGTGGTGGTCAGTTTATTCAACAGAGAAGGTGCATATCCTTAGTCTTGAAAGATGAGGACGGTGCCGTCTGCGTACTCGAGACCGACAAACTTTTCACCAGCAAAGATTTGAACACCGGGGTTTTTAAGGTATTCTTGCCTCATCATTTCACCCATGGTGAAGTTGAACAAGAATGGAGAGTGGACATGTCCGACACCTGTAAGAAAGCTTTTGGAGAGCTCACTACACACGCAAGCCCGGAAGGATGAGAGTATAGGGACCGGGCTGTGTTTACAAACTCTCGGGACAGCCTGTTGAGCAAGTATTATCAACACTGCTGACCGATCGACAGAATCGAATGTACCATTGAAGTCAAGGATCACCAAGAGTGAATCTGTGCTTACGGTGTGGCGGGGTACGATCCAGAAGTTCTTGTTTTCCTTCTACCCTGTACGTATGGGCGCGTAAGTGCATCAGCAGCTCTTCAAAGCCTTCTGCGAAACCCTGATTTTCATATAGCTACCGGTGTTTGCGGTGACATTGTTCTTGTCGCTGAGGAGGAAGCACAAGTATACCTTCAAAAGTTGACCATGGTTATCCCATTCTCTTGTGTTCCATGACGTACATTCATTGAACATACCATTCGAGAAGTGGTATCACAGGCTGTAGAACGCTCTACTTACCTGGAAAGCTGTACCAGCTGTGTTGTGACGGACAGGATCCATCCACGAACCACGTTGGTCAATTACCTGTGATTGTGCATCGAATTGCTAACGTGTATTACACGGTTATGGAACATTACATCTGTCATAGGAGATTCTTTCACTTCTTCAGTCAACGATGTCTCAGAACCGTCGCTGACGCCGACGAATTCGAAATGTGACTAACAGGTGTCCGGCGACGTGGCAAATAGTTCACTTCATGACTGCAGCCACCTCCACAAACTGCGGTTATATGACACATGCTGAGTTGTCAGCTAGCAAGGGTTCTCCTTCATGTTGGTGAAGGGCGGAAAGTGCATAACCTGGCCGAAGGAGACGAAAGAAGTCCCGAAAAGTCGACACGACATCTAGGATGGCGTGCATGGCTAATGAAGCCTCGACCAAAAATGACGGTATTCATGTTGGCGTCTTTTAACCAGATTCTGACTGGTTCGCAGCAGTGTAGGCACGTACGCTCATGGCATGCTAACACTGGCCTTTTCTCACCCGTTTTTTTGTATTCGTTGCACATTGGACTTTTTTGTACAAATTGTATGGTAGTGAACCGTGGTGTTTCCACAATGTGATTGTTAACCACGACGATGATGATCATGGTGGAATGATGCGGTGGGAACCAAACTTCAAAGTACATAGGACAAATCGCTGATATGTGGCACGTCACTGACATTTTTCAAAATCTCATACTTACGTGAGGAAGGCCGATTAGCAAGCCTATAGGTAGCTTCACGTTAAAAACAACAATCGACCGAACACACCACAAATGCCAGTCAATGGTAGATCCCTTATCTGTCCTTAAAGCATCCAGTATATCTGTTTTTATTCTATCTGTTTTGAATTCGTAAAGCGGGTAGCTTGGCTTCAGACGTAAGGAAACATCAGGCACTAAAGCAAAATAAAAAAGAACGGCCTTTCTCTAGGGGGTCTTGATCATAGTTATCTTTTGTGCTTCGAAATGCAGTTTTCCTTCAGACTAACCAGCACATTGATTCGCTCCTTAGTAAGACCTACGGCTAAGTCCTTCAACGTGAGACAAGTTGTCTGTCCCTCCAAAATGCCACGGAACTTTTCCGTTCTCTCGAGGTCGCAATGAATAGCGAGTACTATGGCAATTTACCACAATCCTAATGGTGTGAGGCTAGACGGATGCAAATGAGGGTGTACAACCTATGCTTCTGGTCAAAAACGGGTGCATACCGATCAAATAAGCTGGAAGCTAGGTACTCTCATAAGACGAATCCACCACTTTTTGACAAAAATAGTGGATGGAAAACGCGGAATTCGCTTAGTTACTAAGATAAAAACAGAATAACTGGGCGTTGAAAACAGAAATCTCCGGGCGTCTAGCGATGAACTGCATTACCAGCTAAAATTGAGCGTACATTTTACGGAGCTAACCTTTTCCGTGCGTTCTTTCTGGTCGAGTGCCATCAGCCAGAGGTACGGTAGACGGCTGGACAGGAGAAGCTATTGGTACAGTTGCAAGAGAGAATGGTCCATTTGCTGCAGCGTGCGAATCGTGCGTATAATCCAGCAGAGCGCGCTCGAGGCCGGAGGGGCTGAGGTGCATTTCATCCGCCAACAAATAAGCAGATTTCAAGCTTGGGTCCTTTGACGACAATAGATGATAGTAGAAGGCCGCCCTATCGCGAACTTCATCATCTTCATCGAGCATGATCCTAGAAAAGGTCAAATCATCCGAGCACGGTAATGAAAAAGAAACCTACTATCCAATTAAAAAAGAAATTACCTCAAAGGCTTTAAATAATGTGTCGGCATTAGCTCGAGTGCAAGCTTACCTATCAAAGTTGCTCCCCTAAATCCGCAGAGTAGAGCGGGCCGCAAGTATTTACGAAAAAAATCAACCGGATCAAACCGTTTAATTTCTTCGGTACGAGAGGAAGCAAGTACTGTGAGGCTACTCAAGCTTACGCGATGTCAACAAAGAACCGAGGTGGAGTCAAACCACAAAATTTCCGGCCACCAGATCGCACATATCCGCTCCAGCCGATTTCTACGATACCCATAGGTGAGTAGGAGTCAAACCTGACTGAAGATTACGTCCTCAGTTATTACAAATGTTATCATTGCGCCATGGATGCAACACATAGGCAGGAATCAGTGACGCTGAACAAGTGCTTAGGTACCCAGACTGGTACTTCTACCATATATAACGAGGGCTGGAAGAATCGGTGGCAAAACTTTGCATACATAGGGCAGCATGATAGTTGTACGTGAGGAGGCTGTGAACTTACCGCTGAAGTAACACTAGTATGCTTGGCAATAATTCAGCGTTTTGCGCTCCGAAGCGAGCTAGCGCAGTAGTAGCAGTGCACTTGACTGGGGCCGATTCCAGGATGACCCTGTTATATATGAAACGAATAAACTGGCGTGGTCGTTTCAGAAAAGGACCCTCACGTCCAAGAAGGTGAAGGATGCGCTGAGTTAGCTTCACGTGTTCACAGTCCTCGATAAACTCGCAGAGCTGCAACAAACCTGAGGGTGAAGGGCAAAGAAGTATAAGACAAATCAGCGTCGCGTCTGCGGATTTAAGCTTGATCAAGTGGATGTCTCATAGAAATGTGCAGAATAACTCGCAAATCGGTGGGGAACAAGGAACAGGGCAAATCGATAAAATTGAAATCAAGGACAACCCAGCCACTCGAAGATGAGATTAGCTGAAAGGATCAGCCGACAAGAACCTTAGAGATCATCACTATTAGCCATGAAACCACCACCGTTCAGATAGCTCAGGACAATTAATCTAGGTGCGGCTATAGACCCGAAAACTTTGACTCTGAATTTCGCAACTTTGGGAATTCCAAGGGCTATTCACGCCCATAAAAGTGAACGAACCAGACATTCTACATGCCGTTAGCGGCAGTAGGACCATATCAAGCAACGAAGGGAAGCAAGGACAGTGGGGAAAACATTATCAATGGGCGAGCTCAGGATGTCGTGATTTCCATCGACTGGATTAACACACCGGCTGAGTTTTCTAAACGTAACGAAAAGTTAGTCGTTGATTTTGAATACACTACATAATGAGAGAACACAATGTGGCTGCCCCGTTTGCGGTCACCCACTCGTTTTGACGGTTAAATTTTGTTAGCCGTGTACAAACTGTGAAACTCACCGAGATTCTTAGCCTCCGGGATGTCTTTGATGATAGACTCAATGACGGAAACCACAGCCTTTTTGAAAACATATCCGGCGGAATCCCGGAGAAGACCAGACAAGAAATTGAGTAGTACACTGAACTTTTTCGGATATTTGGCGGCCAGTGCCCGGATAGACTCCAAAACAACAATCTTGAATTCATCAGTTATTTCCGACATGAAAGGGCACACATGTTTCAACAACCGCTCGACGTTATTCTCATTCCCGGTCTGCCAAATAATGCATAGCGTATCAGGTTTAGCTGAATAATTTCCACATTATGTATGGATGATATTGCTACACCGCACTACTAGCAAATCAACATGGTGTGAAAAAATTTGCCCTCCTAAGTGAATTACTCCTCAGTTCAACAAAAAGAGTTGACGAATGGCGCACTTGGATCGAGTAGACAGTCATTATTGTGCAATGGGAGATAGCATGTCAGAGTAAAGAGGGAATGAATAGATGAATGGTTGAACTCTCAAGTGAACCATCCAGTGTCATACTACATAAAGGAGTCAAGACGACAGATGAGCGATAGTGCATTCTGTTCTCTGCAAGCGGCTCAACCATCATTTTTAACAAACTACCATGAGAGGAAACGATAACCACAAATATACACTCCGCACGACCCTGACGATTTGACGGTTCCCATTTTCCGCCAGTGATCAGGCAGGTAGCTAAGCGGATTCGACTTGTACCACCTATTTATCCCAATTCGTAATTCCCTCTCCTCACATTCGCAACCGTATCATTGATAAAATTCCCCGCCCTGATTATCAGTGTTTTTTTTTCATTTTCTCCTGGTGACATTTCGACGTGTCAGTTTTACACCCTCATCTGTTCTCGGAATGATCTATTTACTGAAGTCTGAAAAGTATTTGGCAATTAATCATCGAACTGCTTTACTGCTTGAAGGATATTACTCACAAGGTTGCTAACAACTATTCGACAGCTCACAATCGGCTTTGCCCTCCTTGGGGCGCAGTCCCCGACTATCCGTTAGTTACCCAAACTGTGTGGAATTCGCGAAATACACTCATTTGCACACCAAACTGGCTTTCACGAGACTCAACTAAGTCTATCACTTGTGACATTCAGCTGAGTCTCCTGTGGGAACCAAACTGGTGTGCAGATGAGTGTATTTCGTTTTTTTTTACTTCTTTTCCGATTGCAATGTTAGTCATATCGAATGTGTGGAATTTTTCCAAGAAGTCGAATTCCTAACTCTAAAGTAGCCCTGTAAAGGGAATCCATGAGTATACAGTGTAAGCATTGAGTGACAAGCACCCGGGATGCTCAGCTGTTAAAAGTGGTATGTTAAATTTCAGCTGGGAGATTGCCACATAGAAGATGTAGTCCAGTTGAGGCGACCTCAGACAGTCGAATATGTAAACATTCCATAACCATAAAACCGCTATAATAATCAGTAGTTCCTAGGGCCGAATTACTTCCTTGCGGTAACCTACTGAAAATAAGCGGTCTCCGCGAATATCGTGGACTAAAGTTGCCTACACTTGGTGACCAGTGTAATAGTCTGTTTTATAATATCCGATATGCACTGCTCCCGAATTCCGTATTTTTGGAAGAAACGAACCGTTTGTAACCCACTTTGCTCAGAGTTTCTTATAGTAAACCGCTCCTAAGCCCACCATGTCATTCCTGACTTCTCGAAACTTGACATTAACTTGGGCTACTAATAGTTGCTGAGATGAAGCTGTACTTTCACGGTTATTCTATCCACTCACCATCCATTTCCCCTATTCTTCCAATTCGTACAGATTGGTGGCACTCGAACCAACGATTTAGTGCGACCAGGTTTTGCAGTTACATAGGTACTGGCTCCCAGTTTTTCACCTTTAGCACTTCTGAGAACTTGCTCTGATGACCTATTTCTACTGAGTATGTATGTAAACCGACTTGTGTACGGTTTACGCCGCGACTGTACTTAGTGGGGCCGGTGCCAACCGCTTGGTGTGGGCACAAACGGACCTTCAAGTGATTAATCCGTTGCTCAACTATTCCCGGCAGCTATTCGGATGAGAACCTTGGCACGGATTCAAATTACGTTTGCAGGATGCAGCTTCCCAAGTATTATAGGTATTCAAACTATCTGCTGGATGTAGTCGTCCTGAGAAACATCTCGAATTGTTTGTCAAGTCTTCTCATGCGCCGAGGTATAATTTCACAAAGATACAACGCATCAAGTTCAGATGCATATCAATGTTTCCACCACGGTGTTACTTTAGATTAACTACACTACTACTAAACTGAATACAGATGTAGGGGGTTGGAAAACAACAAGAATCAAATAAAGAGCACTGACCTTTAGAAGAGTTGTAATTGCTAGAGTAGCTATACTTCGATTTGAATCGCCAATCAGCTGTTCCAAATCCAGGTTACAAGCGGTCACAGCAGACGGATGATTTGTAGCAACCGTATTTAGCGTGCGGACAGCAGCGTAGCGAAGAGCTGGTTTGGGTGAAGAGCAAAGAAGTTGTAGCACGCTCACAGCTGGTGCCAATTCTCGTGCTGTTGCGCCGCGAAGGTTAATAATCGCACGAGCGGCCTCATAAATCACCATCTCGGACTTATGGCGAAGCGATGATTCGAGGAATTCGAACAACCCCGCATTATTTCTGTCGCATAAAAACAATCGGAAATAGTAAGACCTAAGGTGTTCGGTGTATTCTGGACGTGAAACAAAATACAGCAAAAGTTTTCCAAGTGAATGCGACAAGAAAGTCCAGATAACTTTTGTAGCCTACAAGGTTGAGGACTAAGATGCATGCCCGAGTACATGATGTTCGGGGTCACGGGAAGCAAGTCCATACCGAGGTAGCGGTAAAAAGGTAGTATGTGCCTGGTGAAGGTGCTAATCTTGTGGTGAATAAGAAACAGCATGGGGCGAGTTTCAACTCGGTTTGCCGTTTATCCTTGAAAAGTAAAAGTGACCCGTGACACAGGCAGCTTTGAGTTTGTCGTTGTACGTGGTGGAGCACGTGTCAACTGATGTTGCCATCCGTGATCATTCAGTTTTGAAACTGTGGTTCAGGAATTCGCTGGTCACATCCTGCTGTCGACCTGGTGGAATCACCATTCTCGCTTTAGAGCAGTAAGCAAGTGACCAATTACGACTTCGTTGGACATCAAATACACAGCACTGAATTCCAAGTCTGTTGTTGGTCAAATAAGCGTCTTTCTGCAGTGAACAGTTGACTGTGCAACATCACTACTGAACCGTCCTCCTGTCTATGTGTGGGCGCCCTGACAGTATCCCAGCCCACGTAGAATCATGACACTATCACGGTTATACGGCAGCGAAGCATAATTGTTGAACACTGATGTCATGCTGCCAATAATGAGATGACCGGTCGCACGTATGGTAAACACCGGAGAATGACTATCGTGCAACCCTCGAGTTGATCAGTTCAAATGTCAAATCATATTGACCAGCACAGTCTTGGGGGCAACTGAGTGAGCCAGAAGGAAATGTCTGTTCAGGGAGCTTTGAATTTACAAGAACCGTGCCCAGGTATCCGGATTCGGATAAATAGGTTATATTGACTATCTAATCGTGAAGATCACGCTGCCTTGGCTCCAAACCGAAAATCCGGAGTAAATGAGTCCTTCAAGATTGAGCTTCCCAGCCTGATCTGTGACCCCCAGCCACCGGGAAAGCCGAAGATGCGTCTCTAACTTGGTACGCCATTGCATAAGAGCCCTTGACGAAAGGTGCGTCATGAAGTTTCTTGGAGGTTTGTTACGGGTTGTGTTCCCAGAGCCACCCAACAGCTGTTCGAGGGTGCAACTCTAGCCTTTGCACAACCAAGTGCGAACTGCAAGGCAGCAGTGTGAGGACGGCTGTCGGGGAGGACCATTGTCTTGGTTGGGCCAGGGTTGATCTCGTCTGCCCAACCCTCGAAGATACCTCCACATACTGGTTGTTGTTGGTCTGAAATAAGGGACGGATTACTGATGAACCGTTATAGCACGTGAGGACATCTTCTGCACTTTCACATGGGTGGACACACTCCCATCACGAGAAGGCGGGGAATAGGACTTTCTCAGCAGATGTTATATGGTAGCGGGCCGTTTGGGGGCATTTCCGTGGGATTCAAGGACAAGTTTACCCGCTTCCCAAGACGCCCATACTCGGCTGTGCTGAGGTATTAAGAGGCTGTGCATTTTGTTCGCTTCCAACATCAGGATGACGCCGCCTGCGGACTCCAGATTTTCCAGGTTGCCACCAGCAACGAGACGAACACCAGCGTTTTGAAGACTCTCCAGTGCTCGCGTCGACGTAAGACTGACGAAGTTGAATAAAAATGAAATGACCATCTTTGCCGGACACTACTTGTTATATCTGCTGATTCGCCAATCTGAGGTATCTGCTGCTGACCCGCTCCAGTGCCTAGTGTCGGAGAGAAAAAGGCTCACGGAAGGGAACACAATAGCTATTATTCCAAAAAAGTAGGTGCGAGAGCGTGAGTACGTGCGAGTGCGACACTGTCTGAACTCGGTCCAATGCTGACGCATGCGGTCTGGCTTTGGTACGAGGCAGCGACGTGCTGCATATTGCGGAGGCGTTGTCTGACCTTGATCAACGCTGACTCGCGCTGTCTGGGTTTGATGCAAAGCTGTGATGCGCTGCAAATTGAGGGGGCGTTGTCTGTCTGGTCAACACCCAGCGGAGCTGAGAGTCTCCGTAGATTCCGGGCATTCAGTGGTTGCTTTCGGGAAGCCGACCTTCCTAATACTACTCTTTGTGGAGAAACTTTCAGACAGCTCTTTCATACACTCCTACACACCCAGAAGTATGTTTACAAACTTCTGTTGCGCAAACATGGTTCAAAACAATAAACGACCAGATGAATCGAACGCATTTCTGAAGTTAAGGGACACGAGGACCATAACCTGTCAGTTCTCCTCAGTTCATTAGGCATAGGAATGATCTCTTGGCTTGACGGGCGATAGAGCTTAATGGAACTCAAAAGTCAGTACACAGCTCTATCCTCCCTTTTAGCGCGAGGTAGGAACTCACCTGCAACAAGCAAGACCTCGAAACCGGAATCCACTAACCGCATTTACACACCAGGTCAGTCACATGAGATGCACGAGATAGATGACGTCAAAGTAAGCTTATCCAAGTATAGGGAACATTTGCAAAATAACGTCATTTGAAGCGTCAACAGTGATCCTCCTCGAAATCGTATAACCGGGTATAAACGCACTGTAACAGATGCTCTACCTTATGCTTGTGAAACCCGGCTGGTCCAAGATGAAGACCTCAAGCGTCTTCAAACATTAGATCATCGATGCTTTCACAACACAGTAAGAGTGTACACAAAGGAGAAGCGCTACCATGGAGACTTAACCTCAAGGTAGTGAGGCGGTTTGCGTGCCTCCTTGACTCAATGAGTTATACCAGAGGTGTCCGCACGGTACTCGGAAACTCATACTAGGTTGACGATGGCTATAGGTCTGAGCAACACCAGAATAGGGACTGAAACACTTGTGGCAACGCATTCTTTTAAAAACGTGCAATGCATTGGCACTTTCCGTCGAACAACGTTGACCTGCGGTTTGGCTTTTGAGCAAAGGTTTCGTTTTAAGACCCTGACCGTCCTTCTGTCTATGTTTGCGTGCTCTGACGTTATTCCATCACGCGTACAACCAAGATATTCACAGCCAAAAATAATAACATGCCACACGGGTCGTCCCACTTGGTACATACAATGGACGGGCAAGCAGAAAGAACTAAAGCTGACGTCTACTTTTTCTTTCACTACTCTCCCACTAAATTGATGACTCCGTCAATGTAGACCTACTCGTTAGGACTGAGGACCTTATTCGCACTGCACCGGTCTTGGTCGTGGCAACCGCGCGTCAGCCGGCACCAACAGCCTCAGACAGCACAGAATCAATATTCAAGCCTTGACGCTATCTATCTGCTGTTTTTAAAGTTCGGGCTCTGAAGCCAGCATAATAACAGACTGCACTTGCTCTTACAGTGGACTCGCTTAACATTGATGTATGCTGTGCACCAGGAACAAGAAGCCAAGATGGCTGAGCTAACTGCTCCAGCGCTCTTCACACACTTTCGGTTACCCACCTCTGGAGATCCAGAGGCCAGCGTAGCACGATGTGAAGCGGTCGACATTATTTTAAGTCGCTAGCCTGAAGCCTGTTGGACAATAAAAACTATGGCAGTGGGAGAGGCACCCAATGCCGGATATGCCCGATGATTTCAGTTGTTCCGTGCAACCAATCTTCGGATGAAACGAATACTGCTATTTTTGGAACGGTCGAATCAGGTACCCACGATCACCGACTGGTCCAAATTTCAAGCTCAAAGAAGCGAACTGACTGTATAGTGTTCCCACACAACTCGAAGGAGTGAAACACTGCAAGGTTGTCCAACCTGAAACCTAGGGTTGACCACGGACCATCTGATCGGTTGTTTCCCGCCTTAGACGCTGAACAATCTCGAATTCTGGAAGGTACTATGTAATCACCGGCTGTCTCAAAACAATCACCGATCGGACCCATCCATTCGATACAGTATACACTTACTCAATGCCTTCTTCGTCCAACTGTTTTGAAACAATCCTTAACTGAAAGTAAAGAGTAATTTGAAAAGGACTTATTCACTTACCATGACACAGTAGGCGTAAGGCGACCTCAAAGTAGAACGCGTAAACTTTTGAATCATTTTCGTTACTGCTAATCGATCGGTTTTCCTTATAAGATACAGTAATCCCAAGGCATGGTACTGGACCATCACCCTGGAGCTGTTAGCAGCTTCCTGCACCTCGTTTACCCAACGCCGGATAATATCAGGGCAGACACGCATCAATTTAATTGCTGATGTCAACACAGCTGACGCGATGGCCGGAGACTTATCAACAACAGCTTGTTTCAAATAACGTTCGATGCTTTGGACCATACTCGCCTGAGGTTCCGAGTTAGATATACATGTCACTTACGTCGGTGATTGTGCATAAGGCCCTAATCGCAGGTCCTCTAAAAGCTGCCTCCGACCCAGTCATGTCCTTAGTAAGACTGCCAAAGTTAGTCCATCCACCAAAAAACTTACCTGCTTGTGACAATAATGACGTCATCCGCAACCGTAGATAGCTCTTTGATGACAAGATAAACCATGCGTCGTAGGTTTTGCTGGAAAATATAAATGAACACTTCGAACTTACATCGTTGGACTGGAAGAGCTTTGTCATGGCAAAAAACGCCTCTGTAGCCTCGGTTTTTCCAAGTTTTTCGCCCTAACTTGATTGTCGTCAAAATTGGGAGATTATCTACCTTCCCTATAACGACCAGAATTTTCGTGAGAATTTGAACACATTTCCTCGGATTGAGTGGTGACTCGTTGAAAGTCCTTGCCTGAAGGCGAACGTCAGAAACTAATCGGATTACCTCTTGAAGGACCATGGTTTTATCGGGGTTTGTATATACGGCTCCGTGTCCTACAAGAAAATAGTTACAGGGCTAGTCATGTCACGCGAGTGGCTTGTTAAAGCCGACGATACAACTCACCGTCTTCTTCATCGCGTTTATCCTTTTTTAAGACGCTCATTATGAACATAAGACTGACGCGTCACCACCAGGCTCGGCAGATTGAATATGCCGCAGTCTGCCGAAGACGGCGTCAAGGTCAACGATGTGGTTCACGAATTCACGGATTGATACACAGGGTCGAGGCTTTTGCCCAAGTTTCCTGGGTCGGTTTTGTTCGTGTCGGTCAGTGGCTGTCGTTCACCTGAAAGGCACAAGTGAAAAAAGGGTGTAGCACTGCTCTTTATGTTCTCAGCGCGGGGCAGTATGCTCGCCAGCGCGAGGATCCGCATAAATAAATGTCTAATAGTGCTTTAAATTGGGTTCGAGAAGGAGCGTGTACAACCGTCGGAAGAAGATCATTCCACGCAGCTACTACCCGAAATGAAAAAAAGTTTTGTCTAATGAATGTGCGTGCCCTGAGCTTGAAAATTTTCCTACTATGTCCTCGCCGTGTGTTTCCTGGGTCAACGGTTTGCCAAGATTTTATCAAACAGGGCATAAGTAAGAATTAGGTCCCCTCGGAGGCGACGGTACTCCAGGGGAAAGAGATCAAGCGTCGCCAGACGCGTTTCGTGCTCCACGGATTTGGGACCAGCAACTATTCTCGTAGGAGCTCGCTGGACACGCTCAATGAAGGTGACGTCTTTCGTGCGTCCTGAGTAGACAACTGGGTTGGCGTATTCCAAGAGCGGGCTGACGTAGGCCAAATGGGGTATTTGGAAGTCAATGGGAGAAACGCGGGAGAAGGTACGTCGGATCATCCGTAAAATGGCGAATGCCTTTTCAGGCGATTTCTCATGGAGCAGTGAGAGGGATAATTTTGAAGAGACCCAGATGCCCAAATGCCTTATGCCATCTATCCTCGTGATGTTTTCTGTTCCTTTTTCACCATGCATAACAAAGGCATTCGCTGAGTCTCCTCCAAACGACACATGGACGCACTTTTCATCATTCTGAGGAAGGTGCCAGTCCAACAACCACTGCTTGACAGCGTCTACATCCAATTGGAGGGCACTGGCATTGGAACTCCAGGATTTCAAGTCGTCCGCAA